AATCACTTCGTGTTGGTTAACTTCAAAGTAAAATTATGTAATCATGCAATTAGTTGATCTTGTGCCCTTGGGAAAGGCACTTTACACGACTTTCCTCACTTAGCTCAGGTGTAAATGAATATTGTCCTGTCATGTATTTGTCCCCTGTGTTGGTGGCGGCATTAATATAAGTTGAAAAAAATTGATTGTGTCGTCACCACGTCTGGTGATTACATGTTGGAATAAAAGAAAAAAATTAGTTGAAGAAATTGAAAGTCATTTTGGTCATTTTGTAACCGCCACCTGTTGGAATGACTTTTCTCTACTTTTACCGACAAAGACACGGCAAAGAAATACAACGGAATGGACTGAATGTCAAGTTTGTTGACTAAACAGACTCGCAGGCCAAGCCGCTTCCTTCTTTCTCGGTATTCGTGACTTGTCATAAGTCTGTACAGTCAACATGTCACGGTGTATAGAGCACAGACAAGCACACACCATTTGAGACTGGGGTCCAAAACCTGCATTTCATCGCTCTGTTCCAAAACAGTAAGAATTTTTCTACTTTTTGGTACATACGGTGACTTGCTTGGTCGTTTCTTAACATCTGTGTCCATAATATCACCATAGTCCATAATATCGCCACCTTGAGAAAAAGTGTGCTTAAAGATATTTTTACTGCAACATACCCTAGGTATGTACATTTGAGGTGTGCAGGAGTGCATACCAAAAGTATGTTGAAGTAAAAATATATCAAAGCACACTATTTTTCAAGGTGGCGATATTATGGACCCTGGTGATATTATGGACACGGATGTTACATGTATATGCGTCTTTTTTGCTTTGAAAGTGACAGATTTGCCTTCATTATTATTCATCCTTGTTACGCTGGGGTGGAGGGTATGCATGCCTTACGGCGTTATGTTGATCACTTGGTGAATGCAAAATGCCTCGAACTGTTGCATAGTATGCTCACTTACGATGATTTATGCTTCTAGCTATATAGCTTTCCGATTATAGTAGTAAATCTTGTATGAAGCATATATGGTACATTCTGCACATGATTTATGTAGAAAACGTGACCGTCTGTCATCGCAGAGTTTGCCAAGTCAACAAGAAAAGTCACGGAGCTGAAAAAATGTGTGCCACGTATAAGGAAAGGATTTTTGTTGTCTTGTTGTATGGTCTGTCTCAGAAAGTCATACTATAAGAGTCGTAAAGCTAAAACAAGTCGTGTATAAGTTGTATAAGAGTCGTATGGGGTCGCAGATAAACAAGTGTGTGTAGAATTTCAAGTGGGTCGCCCTCCCCCCAACTCTAGCAACTGTCCCAACATTTAGGTTACCAGCCAAAACCAGACTGTTCAAATTCTGTATTTTCGAAGAAGATAATTATTAAGGTAGACAAGTTAAAAAATGGTTAGACGGCCACAAAAAAGGTCAATATGTTTCTTGCAGATCAGGAATTTTCGGGCTGGGTAATCTAATGCCTATCTACTGACCTATTTCGCCCCTTCTGTTGCTTGTAGTAATACTATTAGGACTCTAGTGGCTAGCAAGGACAACACACGTAATGTGAAAAGTTACAAACTTACCTTAGAAACGCTCGAAGCCCGCATTCTTGCTATAAAGTTGTGTTGGAGAGTGATTCGAAGACAAGTTTGTGTTGTCTGCATACAAGACACCTCCTTCCCACGGTTCGACGGAAAACCTGTTTTTCCAGAAAGTCACGTGGTGTGTGTTTGTGTAGGACAGGTAAAGGTGCGGAGATTCTACAGAAGTGGTGGCGCGGAACTGGCTCAATAAGGACCCCATAGGTATGTCCAAAATCCACATGATTAAAACAACGGGCGATTTGTAGTATATAATTCTAAGTGTGTGTATATTTCTACGTTGTTTAGAATTACGTTGAAGTATGATATGTTGTACCAATGATTTATACGCTGAAATGTATGATCACGATTTATTGAAGTTAAATATCTGAAATACTGAAAATATTACACCTGTGGGGTCTTTGAGATAATGGTTCAACAAGGGACGTGCTGGACGTGCTTGAAGTAAAAATGCAAGCACCACACATAAACCCTGTGTGCATAGTCTTACATGATTAAACTTTAGCCCTGCACGGCAGCCCGTTTTCTTGTGAATGTTGTTCACTGACTAAGTAACTTTCTGTTATTGAACGCTCTTGGTTGATAACTGGATAAAACATCCTAATTTTTGTTTCTGCTTCTTTGACCCCACAATGAGAATGCATTTAGCTGAACGCCTTTTAACATAGTCAATTTGGTGCAGGTATCTCATACAGTACAAACGTGAATCGCAATGTGTCGCTTTTAAAGCACTTCAGTCTGGTTGAGAAGCAAATGCTGAGAAGTGCATTTTATATTGAAAGGTCGAGGTGGATATATATAAAATCCTTCCTGAAGTTCTGATTCAAAATATTAGATGCTTGTGTTCAGGATATTTGTAAGAATTTTGCCTTTTGGGTGGCACATAGCCCTAATAGCAACATAAAGAAGTGGCGTAAGTGTAGGCTCCCTAGCAGCTTTTTTTGAACTGCAGGGGTCAATTTTGTTTTTCACTTTTGAAGGTTATAACGATAATTCAAGAAAGGGTTGACGATTTGTCGTTATTTTTGGCATGTTCGTATTTTTTTTCTTACCTCTATCTCGATATCTCTAAAGCTAAGAAAAGCCGAGCTAACCCTAAATAAAATCAGATTATGTACATCAATACACCCTCACCCACCCACGCGTTAGCGTATATACTGTCACCTTGCCAACATCTTTTCAACATGCTGGTTTTTCAGTGGCAAACAAAAGACTCCGGTCCCAATTCAATTACACTCCAATTGAATATTGATCGAGCGTTTCGGCCAAGAAAAACACGGACTCATTACAAATGAACGCTCCAGCAACGACGAATTACACTGTAATACAAGCAAAGTAACTGGTTTGTAATGACCCACTTTTGAGAGAGATAATAGTTTATTCAAAGTAAAAAAAAAACATTTATTTTGCAGCACCAGTGCTGAATTGCGTTTTCTATACACAAATACGTAATTCAAATCTTATCATCAGGACTAATAAGAATTATAAATTTCAAATAAGAATTAAAACAAGTCACAAATCCTGGAAAATCACTACTATCACGACTTGAAATTCTGTTATAACATAAATTAACATTAACTGTCATTCAGCAGGGGGACACAGTAAGGTAGTGTACTGTTTAGCATACGCTGTGTCCGGTACTTAAACTGTGTCAGTTTCGTGCTGTTCCTAAGTGTTCTATTGAGGACATCCCCCCTTTTCTACACAGTTCTAAGAATTGACCAGGGAGAATTCATTTTAGATTGCAGCCAGCTTACTGAGGTGTGAAAGTTACTTAATCGATTATATAATCTTTTCTGCTTCGATAAATTTGGTCGAAATTATTTCATAATCAAATTGACCTGTTTTATTTTTTCCCGATGTTACTACCTTGACTAACATCTGTGTCCATAATGTCACCAGGGTCCATAATATCGCCACCTTGAGAAACAGTGTGCTTAAAGATATTTTTACTGCAACATACTTTTGGTATGCACTCCTTCACACATCAAATGTACATACCTAGGGTGTGTTGCACTATTTCTCAAGATGGCGATATTATGGACCCTGGTGATATTATGGACACAGATGTTACACCTTTCTATACCTGAATGGGTTGGAGTTTTATAACTAAATGGGTTGGGGTTAGGATCAGCAGGCATGGTTCTGGATAGCCTCCGTGTAGTCAAGTACTAAGTACGTAGATTTACCCAGGCATGGTTCTGGATATGTATGGACTATCCGAAACCGTGCCTCAGCATGGTTCTGGATAAAACATTGTTGTTAATATGTGTGGACTATCCAGAACTGTACCTGAGCATGGTAATGGATAAAGCACTGTTCTGGATACGGGTGGACTATCCAGAACGGTGCCTGCGTATGGTTCTGGATACTCAACACTGTTCTGGATACGAGTGGAGTATCCAGAACCGTGCTTAAGTAGGGTTCTCCTAATAAAACGCTGTTCTGGATAAGCACGGACTATCCAGAACAGTACCTGAGTATGGTTCTGGATATACGAATATAGAACCGTGCCTGAGTATGGTTCTGGATAAAGTACTGTGTTCTAGATACGAGTGGGCTATCCAGAACAGTGACTAAACATAGTTCCGGATAAAGCACAGTTTCGGATACAACAAATAGAGACTCAGTAACTATAATAGATATGAACAACAGGTTACGCATTTTCACCCCTCCACAACCCTCTCTCTTGGTTTGCCCCATATTTGCCACAGCCAACGATGACATTTGCTCAACCCCCGTATGTACCGTGTTACACCGCGTACAGAAAGGCGCGTGTGTACTTACGATTATCACAGCATAATGCTAATAGCGCTCGCGTGTTCCTACCCACGGGACCACTTAACAAGGGGGCTGGCAGTGTGAATGGGAGCTTAGGCTACAGCATGTAAATTTTATGGTTAACATCCTCCGCAGACTCCAAATCTAATGCGATAGGGCGAAAAAAACAAGGCGGGCCAAAAAAACAAGATTCCTACATTTTCAAATTTCTACATCATAAACCATGTTAATCAAGAAATTATGTATATATTGTGGTAAGTTTACGGTCAACTATTACAACATCCATTTGTCACTGAAAATATAAGTTTTCAATCTTTGTACAAATGGACATTCAGTCGGAACATCACATATATACAGCGCTAGCCACCATCACATAAGAAAGGAATGAAATACTTCACTGAATCGAAAGTAAAAGACAAAACAATAGATTAGAGCATTGTCTTGTCTCTCCTCTTCATATGTATCTGTCATCCACCTTCCGGCATGGCAACAGACATCTTTGCCCATTTTCGTCATATACGAGGGCCTGCAAAGGGGGTAGTGATTACGAATTACGCAAAATTTTCGCCGCCTATTACGAATTACGTTAAAGTTTCAGAGCTGATTACGACTTTACGATTTGCGGCTAATGTCCAATTACGAATTACGTTGATTTTTGCGGAGGCTGCCTACGAATTACGAAGTCTAAAACGGCCTGATTACGCCTTACGAAAAAGGGCTTGCAGGCCCTCATATACGACCTCTCGACCACTGTCAGAGGGCAACAATTTTTTTTTTCAAAATCAGGCGAAAATCAATGCGCGCAGTGATGTCATCCATAAAAATTACTTGCTGTGGCCTTAACAAGGGGGCTGGTCGTGTGAATAGGGGCTTATGCGCTTACAAGTGTGCATCATAAATTATCACCGAGGCTTTCCGATTTGAAAATCAAATCATCTCACGTTTCCCCGTACATTTACGGGCCTTTTATGACGGAATAAATCAAATTATTAGCTAATAATATTCTACTTGTCAACGACGAGAATGTCTTATACCAGTATGAGCTCCATCATATTATGATGCACATAAAGGGGTTGTCGCAATGTTCATTTGCAGGGATATATAGAAATTTGAGATTGAACAAAACGACAAATTTTAGATTTTGGGACTGAACAAAATCAAATTTTTGCAAATTGAAATAAAATTATGCATATTTCATTTCCGTAGTAACCTACGATCGGTAATGGTGCAAACATATTTCATAGTTAGACCCATACTCTGATCTAGTGATGTAAAATGAACGGTCCCCAAATATGGAAATTTCCCGCCATAAAAGGCGTTGGTTGATCGCTGTCGGATGAGTGATTTTCACAGCTTACGTCGCGAAGGTTTTTTTGGCGACGTCTGCCAGTAGTGTTCACTGGGATATCTTTTCCCACAAGACCTCAGTCGTCCAAACGTGGTTCCGCCATCCCGCAATGCTTTATACGACCTCCCATCTCTTTTCACAGTTGTAGCGCCACATTACAAGATCGTAAACCATCAGGTAATTCCCGAAGCGAAGCAGCGGGAAGGTGCCGGGAATGTCTCGGGCACTGTCGCCTCCCTCCCCGAAGACTTCCTGACGGGGCATCGGTGAGAGATGGAGCGGGAAGGCAGGATGGACGGACCCTACCGGCGGTTCGGGGAGTACCCCGGGCCCAGCCACCACATCGAACGGCCGGTTCCTTATGAACTAGACGGTAAGGTTTTTTCTCTTCATCTTTCGCTCATAGATTTGTTTAGCTTGTACTCTACAATTTTAAATACTACTAGGTAACCATAGCTTCCTACCAGACTGATGCAGTGGGTTCAAGGAAAGTAGAATTTAGCAAAAAATTTGAAGAATAAAATTTGTCCACCTTCCCGTGGACAGACTCTCCAGGCCAACTATTCTCCCATTTTTGCCGCATTCTACCATCCCTACCCCCGTAGGAAGGCCTGGGGGGAGGCTAAAGCAACCTGTCGCGAGCCCTAGCCTCCGTAGCAGGCTTATAGAACTGGTGGTTTGGTGGTCTTCGGCTGTTTTCTGATTAGTCCAGTTCTTAAAAAACGGGGGCAATTCAACCAGGCCGGCTATGTTGTCTATATTCAATCAGAAAATAGCACATAAAAGCTCCTAAAGGCCCTAAAGACCCCCCCCCCCCACACACAGTTTTTGGTATGCTACGGAGGCAACGCGAGCCCGTACACCATTGCCACAAGCTGCCAATTAGAAGCGCGGAGAATGCCGTGCCTGGTCCCGCTAGTAGCGATGTGTATCGCGGGGTCACCATCGCTGTCCTTTCCGCCAGCCTTCATAAAATTTTAACGCCGTGAAGTCTTACCGTAACGCGTCCACGTACCAGCTTATAAACCCAGTGTTAAGCCGCTTCAACTTCTATCTACTAGTAGGCTTTCACCATCTACTAGTAGGCTTTTACCAAGTATTTGCATACACAAGTAGCAAGCTTCAATTATACGAGCTGTTTAGAATTAAGACTAATTCAAAGCTCTTCTAAGACACCTTTAAGTAAAAATAGACTTGATGGTCTTCTCTCTGCGCTTGGTTGAGATTTTAATAGCTGCCTTTCCGTTACTACAAACGATATTTTATTGCCCCGTCATTTGAGTGTTGTAGAGCTCAAACATGTATGTCTTTGCCGCAAACATTTGTTGATTATAAGAAGTGTCTTCCCAAACGCTTGAGGTGATCTATCTTTCCCGCCATCAGGGAAATCAAAGCGTCTCTTTTGTTACCGGATATATTGATCTGACGTCCTCTCATGAAGTCCTCAAGTTCACCCGGAGTGGAGGACACATGGTGTGCATCAGTACTCATCCCGATCAAAGGACGGTGTGCGAACGTATTCTGACGGGTAGGCGATAGGGTGAGGGTTCGGAATAGGAAAAGGGTACGGGATAGGGTAAGGTGTACGGGATAGGGTAAGGTGTACGGGATAGGGTGAGGTGTACGGGAAAGGGTGAGGTGTACGGGAAAGGGTGAGGTGTACGGGAAAGGGTGAGGTGTACGGGAAAGGGTGAGGTGTACGGGATAGGGTGAAGTGTACGGGATAGGGTGACGGGTACGGGATATTGTACACGTAACGTGTACGGGATAGGGTGAGAGGCACGGTATAGGGTGAGGGGTACGGGATAGGGTAAGGTGTACGGGATAGGGTAAGGTGTACGGGATAGGGTGAGGTGTACGGGATAGGGTGACGGGTACGGGATATTGTACACGTAACGTGTACGGGATAGGGTGAGAGGCACGGTATAGGGTGAGGGGTACGGGATAGGGTAGGAGGTACGGGATAGGGTGAGGGGTACAGGATAGGGTGAAGGGTACGGATTAGGGTGGGGTGCGGGTTAGAGTGGGGGGCACAGGATAGGGTGAGGGGCACGGCGGTAGGGTGGGGGGTACGGGATAGGGTGAGGGGTACGGCATAGGGTAACGGGCACGGGATAGGGTACCGGTACATACGGTATAGGGTGACGGGTCCAGGATAGGGTAACGGGTTCGAGATAGGGTTACCATGTATAGGAACTTGATGAACTTTAGATATCCTGCTAGGTTTAGGTCTTACTTTACACTCGTAACACGAAGGATCGGCACTGTACTGTTGTATCTAGAACCATGCTCTATCCATAACCATGCTCAGGCACAGTTATGGATAGTCCACTGGTATCCACAACCGTGCCTTGCGCAGATCTATACGTCCTTGGATACATGGAGACAATTCAGAACCGTGCCTGATCCTATAAGCCATAAACAACTCCAGGCATAGAACTAGATATGATACAATAGACACTAACATGGATTGATGGCTTCTTCTATGCGCACGAATGATCCCGGAGGCCAGTATTTACTGCACATGCGACAAAGGCTTCCAGGTTTACCACGTTAAATTTTATCTTTCAGCAAAACGCGAAGATACGTTGGATGATGGTAGTCATAAATTTACGGCTCTCGCATGTTGTATTTTTTATGTTTTTTGTGAGAATGACATTTGCACGTTACTAGGCTTTAGTGCTAGTAAAAGAAGAACACGAAAGAGAAAAAAAAACCCTCAAGATCCTACTCTCCTCTGGCTCCTTTTTGATCAGAACACCATCTTCTCTTTCAAAGAGTAACTAAATGATTCTTGAAACACTTTACAATTTGACATTTACATGAAAGACTAAAGAGAGATGAGCAATAATTTCACTAAGATGCTCAAAGGCGTGACATTTGGAACACGTCCTTGTCGTAATTTATAATAAAAAGCATAGAAAAAACGGTATAGAAACAGCCGTAAGATCTATATTAGATGTTATGAATCAGTTATTGGCTTATTGATTTGTAATTTGACAACAGATGGTAGTTTGATTTGGATTCTATCGACGCGAAAACCCGGGGAGTGTGAGAAAATGATTTGTGAATTTGGGTCGAACGATCTGTTTGGTTGCTTTATTTCCCATATGACCATTAAGGATAATAGCATTAGTTTCTCTCTACTGCAAATAAGAAATGCTTTAAAAACTAGAAAGGTAACATTCGCAAAACAAATACATAATGTTTTTCTTCGCATATGGGCTGCTCTGTTAATTCTTACTCATTGACATATATGGTGACATGAGTCTAAATCCCTCCTACTATAAAATTGCAACATTATGTAACCCAACACCAGTTACCATGGTGAGAGACAGTCTAGTTCAGTCAGGTCAGAGGTCACTGGAGAAGAAGAAGAAACGTAGCAAAAACAATATGTTTTCCTTCGGTAAACATAATGATAGTAATATTGAACCTAAATGTACAACGGAAAATAGTATTTTGTAATAGTTTATTAGCAGTCAATTCATGTTTCATTAGGACAGTCTTTCCCTCCTGGAATCTGCGTGGTTTTCATCAATTTAAGTATTTGAATAGTATAGAGAAATTTATATTCCTTGCAGTCTTTAACAAACCAGCTCTAACTACTCATACAGCCAACTGCATTTATAAGATTACCAGAAAGCGAGAGGAAGTTGAAAGTACTTGTGTACTATAGCCGTTTTATTATCAACATTGATGTACTTTGTCAATATGTGACCTGTCTTTAGCCCAGCGGGGAAAAATGTACATTAAAGGTCTTCATTCATTCATTAATATGGTAATGTATCCAACACATAAGCACCCAACGCGATATTCAGTGCAAAGCCTACCACAAAAATTCAAGGGGTTATCTAATTGCTTGGGCGGGTACCAGCATACCTTCGTAAATAATGCATAATGTAAACACTAAAGGTGCTGGGAGTTATCCTTAGGGTTTAAGTTATCAATGAGGTGTTCTATTCACACACGCAGTGGGGCATTTCTAGAGTCGGATTTCCTTTATACATGGCCTTTTATACCGGAATATTCCGTTTGTCCTTTCTGTGTTACTTACTATGTAGAGATCTATTCACGTTTCTGTAACCAGAATAGTCTTTGGAGCATACTCAAATTCAAAGGTTTTAAAAGTGCTGCCACACCAAAAGCGATTTTAGAGCAGTACAATTGGATTTTTTGTGTAAATTTTTTGGTCATTTTTTTAAATGTAGTAAGTTGAATCAACCCTATTTAATAGCATACTGATATCTGTGAGGCAAAAAAAAATGCAAAGTCGCCGATAGAAATGGTTGCTTGTTTCGTATCGTAGGCTGGTTCTAGCTATTATTTATTGGTGGTACCAAAAAATAAAGAGAATCCTCAAGTAGCTTGGTGTTAGGCTATTTCAAACACTTTAAGTATACAAAATGATAAAAATGTAGTAATAAGAAATGGCAGTAAATGTCAAAAGTTTTGCCAGTCTAAAATAGCATTCAATGTCATTAAATGTAATTGTAAAATCACAAAATCTTGCAATTAGCCTTCGGGCATGAATTTGCAATAAACATTCTATTGTAAAAGCCCCAACAAGTGCACATTGCAACCCGACTCTAACACTGGTGAATAAACGGTCTCCAGTGCGGCAGTACCATCTGGAAATCTGTCGGGTGATTAAATCCAACTAAGGCCACACCAATTTGATTTCTTGGTTAACGGATTTTTGAAGAAGAATAATGGAGCGGGCGGGCGAAAAAAAATAAAAACAGGCCTAGTTCAAAATTTAAACAATGAATTTTGAACTTTTAATGATACCACTGCATTGAAAGATGGAATAACTGTAACAACTAGGAAGAAAAGGACTGTCTTCAACTGTTCAGGGCAAAATATGAGCATTTTGCACTTGATTCTGAATTTTATTTTTATCTGCAAATCAGAAAAAAAATGAAGCGGGCGAATCCGTTAACCAAGAAATGAAATTGGTTGGCCTAATGAGGGCAAAAAAACGAGTCTCCGGTTAAGGGCTTCAAGGGGGAAACAGACGCACAAATTTCTCCTCAAATTGGCATCAAGAAAAGGCGTGTCAGATTTTAACACTGCTGTTATCTTATAGCCACAGATGGCCTGAAGGGTCATTAGTAGCGCTAATGTAATATTTATAACACACTATACCATATTGATTTACAATTTGAAATGAATTTAATCCGATAGAAAGCTGGCAAATCGATGACCTGTTTTGAGACGCCTTAACAGGAAATGTGCCAATGTACTATCGCAAGAAATATGTTAATGTACTAAGGCCACACCAAGTAATTTATGTGGATGACGTCCTCTGGAGACCCTACATTTAATGCGAGAGAGCAAGAAAAAAAGAAGAGGGGCCAAAAGATGCCTAGA